AGAGAGAGAGAGGGATGGTCTGTTAAGGATGAATGCACACACTGAAATTTTAAGCTTTTAATATGTGGCAGGTCATTTTGCGCTGGGGACTGCAAAGGGGCACGAGTGTGCTCCCATGCAGCCTGAAACCCCATCGAATTGAGAGAAATGCAGACATTTTCAGTTGGTCTCTTTCTGACGAGGAGTGGATGCTCATGAATAGAATTGAGCCCCAATTCTGCCTCTTTGGACATGGACCCATAAATCCATCAGAAGGTGTGTTCCTTTCTGATAATAGCCCTCTTCAAGCAGTGCTCGAAATGGAGGATGACATTGAAAACAATTGATGAAATATGTTGCGTTCAATCTTTGCTACTCTTGTGCCCTCTGTTATTTGGCGCAAATCTTTTTTGTTTTTTAGCTCTGATTGTACCTGTGCAGTTTAATGCTCTTGTCCCCTTTGTTGGTTTTGTGAGTAATCTTGCTTAAAGTAAGTGTGCATATGGATATATTTGAACCAGTTCAGCTGACTGTTTGGATTGTTTGATATTGTTATGTTTTCATCGTATTTCGAGGGCAATTGCATATATGTTATTTAGAAGGGGGTTTGTTCTTGTGGCCTCAATGGGAAGTTAAATGCTAAACATGTTCCTTGGTAAATGGTGGAACTTGTTGGGTGTGTATGGCCTTTAAATACGTTTTGAGTGCTTGTAAATGAATTATATAGTGGAACATAAACACAGTGGGAGTTTGTTCCCGTGTGGACCACACTAAACAAACGATGTTTGCTGATACTAGACTGTGCTTAACGTGATAAGTTATTCTGGTTGGGGAAAGCCCATGTTACCTGGTCATAGAGAAACAAACCGACAAAGGTTAGATGGGTCATCTCTTGATGAGGTTGGAATATGCCTGGAGCAGTGAACTGAGGGATTGTGTGACCCTTGTGTGTGATAGAGGCCTTCAGATACGGGGCTTAAGCCTCATTTGCATTCCATCACAAGGCATGCACATTGATAGCTGTTTTCAAGAAAGCGAACCACCTTTCATCTCTCATCACACATTGGGGCTAACTCTATAAGGTGCGGTAGAAAGAGAAGCATCTCTCTCAAACTAAGTTATCAAGGGGGTTCACCTAGCTATAGCTATTGAGTTTGTAATCAAAGGGTTCATGTTCCATTAAAGTGGCTTGTCCAAAACTTGCTTTCCCGGTTGAGATTGAAGGTTGGCCATTAGATCCCGCGCCATCGAAACGTAGTAACGCGGTATAGGGTGTAAAAAGTCCGGTTGAAATAATCTCCAACACCCTCTTTTATTTCTTGCTTATTTGTTTATTGCTTTATTTATTCCCAAGCATAGAATGTGTCCTTTCTTTGTTATTGAAAGAAAGATTTTGAATTGCTTCAAGTTCTTGAAATCCTAGTTGTATTATTTTATTTGAAGTTATTATATTGTAAAAGGATTGCAATATAATATACTGAGGATATGCAATGGGATTCAGTGAATGCATATGAAGGTGCCATGATGGTTGGAATGGAGAGCTGCAACAAATATACTGAGGATATGTAATGGAGCCATCTTGTCTTGTTAATTTACTGTTTGGTCCTTGACCACAGTTATTTTTATTACAGGATAGTCTTCTCTAATCTGGATTAAGAGGGTTATTTTTTTATTGCAAAAATCAAATATTTTAAAGTTGACCAGGATACTCTTAGTCTTCATAATCATTAAATTACTTAGAGAGTCGTTCTTTATTCTTTTTTTGTCCACAGACTTCTTTACCATTCCAAAAAATGCTCAAATACCTTTTGGTAAAAAAAGAAACTGAGTGAAAAGTCCCAGAATAATATTCTACAATTGCATGCACATCCCCTCTCATAAATTAAGTTTTTAGAATACTCCTATTCGTCATAATCATAAAATTACTTACAGAGTCATTCTTTATTCTTTTTCTGTCCATGAACTTCTTTACCAATCCCAAAAAGGCTCGAATACCATGTAGTAAAAAAACAAACCTAGTGAAAAGTCCCAGAATAATGTTCTACAATTGCATGCACATCCCCTTACATAAATTAAGTTTCTGAAGTCATGAGACTTGTCTTTTGTTCCAACAAAATAATGAGAGATAAGTATATATTAGTTTGCAAAATATAAATCTTAATTTCTGATTATTATTAGTTTTCCTTTTGTGTACCGATTATTTTCATGCCATGAATCTTTTGATTTCTTGTTTTATTTTAGGCTTATAATTCTTACCTTTCTATTGGAGAAATCTATGCTAATCCCCACCTAAATTATAGTTAACCCCCCAAAAGTTTGATTTCACATTAATGCCTATGTTTTTCAATCTTTTTATTTTTTCTCAAATTGTCCTGGCTTTGGACTTCGAATACCCCATAGTTTAATTGTTTTTTATTTTTATGTTTACTCCAGACCTTGAAGGTCCAAAGCTGTGTTTCAAATATTAACTTGGACTTTCAAAGCCTGAAGTTTGATATTTGTAACGAGAACCAACAAAAGGTCTCAAACATCAAGTTGGGATTGTAAAGTTTGAAGTGTTTGGAATAACTTCGAACTTTATTGGTCAGATCTCGGTTTATGAGCAAATTAAGATTAAAAATCTTAGATTCTGAGGTCCAAAATAGGGGAAATTTGAGAGAAATAAAAAATGAAAAATGAAAAATGAAAAGAAAGATATGAAAGTAAAAACAAACTGTTTGGGGAATTTTCTTTTCAGGTTGTGTTAGGGTATATGTACATGTGAGCATTTATTAAATGTAGTCAATATTTTTTTACACTAATTACCCTTGTTTTGTAATACAAATTTTTTATAATAAAGGTATTTTTCATCCTCAGAGGGGTAAGATAGATATTTTAAAAAAATTTAGTATCATTTAATGCTTCATGTGGGTGATGTCACTCATTTTGTGGATGATGTCATTTTCCACTATAATTAATAAATACTCTTCTTTCTATCATAATTTCTACTTTGCCCTTGAATAATTACCTAAAATACTCTTAAACACAAAATTACTATATTATGGGGTAATGGTATTAACTATCCAAAAATATTGAGTACATTTAGTAAATGTTCACATGTATGTGTACTTTAACATAACCATTTTCTTAAATAATATTAATTTAGAGGAATGTTATCAAATTCGCTTCACTTCGGCTGAAGAGGTTGCAGTCTTTGGAATGTTGGTCGAGATTGAAGCTAAGTGAAGCTATGGTGTATCAGCTTCGGCCTGCTTCAGGGCAATTTGGCCCGCTTCGGTTTAATTCAAACGTTTCGACCAAAGCTTCAACCTCTTCGGCCAAAGCACATATTTGTCCTTTTTAAATACAATTATGTGCTTTGGTACACGTCGAAATCTTCAGTCAGAGCACAAAATTGTTTTTTTATTTTCTATTTTTTTGATATTTTAATATATTTTTATATAAAAAATATATTATTTATTTATATTACTTTTTTTTGGTAAATTCTGAGGTCTTCCTTTGTATCGGCCGAAACATCAAAGTACATCATTTTTTCCACCAAACTGAAGAAGACTCCGAAGTGAATATGAAGGCCAAGATGATCGATTTTAAGGTTTTCTGATGCCAAAACCATAATTTGTAACGAGTTTTTGAGGTGAGGCTCTACTTATCTTGATAGGGCTACAGCCCTATCAAAACATTTTCCCTTTCTAAATTCTATCAATATTCAAGTTATAATAAGAATTCCAACAAAAATAGAAATTATATCAATATCTAGAGAGCTCACACTCGCCTCAATAAAAGCAGTATCTATAAAGAAAAAATTAGAAAAACCGTAACATGTAGAAAAATAAAATTGGATGCAAAAAATTAAGTAAACATTAGCCAATTATAACAAATGCCTAAAAAGTATTTATCAAAATTTTAACCAACTTAATTCAATAAAACACTTAAAATTTATGAAACTCATAAACAATGGATATCTTTTAAAAAAGACAAAAAAAAATTATCTAAACTAAAACATTGTGCAATACATGTGCCATTAGCAAATTCAAAAAAAAAATAAAATAAAAAAATGTAATAATAAATTAAAAAAAAATACCTTCAGACACTAGTGGAACTGAGCCAACACCATGAAATCTTAAACCTAGATTCGTACCCCCAAATTCTGAGTTGGCTCGACGATTTTTGAAATACTGAAATCCCCGATAAGCAAAACGGTCAAAGTCAACACCAAGATATAGGGTAGTTAACCTCTTTAGAGTCCTAGTTCCTTGGTAATTAGGGTATAGGCATGTGGCTCCAAAGCACCAACTTACCCCTTTGAAAAAACAAGAAGAAAATGCATTTACGCGGTTAAGTAATGGCCAAGCATTTGACTTGTAAAGCTACAAATGCAAGTTGCCAAAAAGAGGGTCTTTCTTTAAGCGTAGAAGAAGCAGACAAGTGGTATTTGTATGCGTGTTGAAGACTACTTCCACCACAAGAAATTGTTTTGTTCAACAAACACTGCTGTATCACATATGGTCGAGCTCATCATCAAAACCCCAAATCATATATATGCACAGAGAGAGAGAGAATGAGAGACTAATTAATAGTAGGGGAGAGAGATTAATCAAATATTGAAATGGTAGATGGAGAGAAAGAGAGATTAATCAATAATGGAAAGAGATTAATCAACAGTTGGCGATGAGAGAGAGATTAATCAATAGTAGGGTGAGAGAGAGATTAATCAAATATCTAAACCGTCGATATCAAGAGAGAGATTAATCTACAGTGGGAGCAATGAGAAAGAGAGATTAATCAATAGAAGAGATTGAGAGACAGAGATATCAACAGTTGGCTATGTGTGTGTGCGAGAGAGAGAGAGAGAGATAGAGAGAGAGAGAGAGAGAGAGATTAATCAATCATTGATAATAAATTGTAAAATGATGAAATTAATGGGAAGATTACTATACAATCAGTGATGCTAGTTTTTAGCATGAAGCTGGCAGCAGCAGCCTGAGAATATCTTAAGGCAAGTTTTGAGCTCATTATCAATGTGATATAACATTGGATTGAATTTACAATTACTATAGAATCAGTGATGCTAGTTTTTAGCATGAAGATTGCAGCAGCAGCCTGAGAATATATTAAGGTAAGTTTGGAGATCCTCATCAATTTGATTTAACATTGGATTGAATTTACAAATATCGTTGACCTACAAAAGCTTTTAAAGAAAGACCTATTCACCTTGCTTGATACTTACAAGTACATGGTAATCCATTAGCCATTCAAAAACCCTAGTCCGCAACATGATCTGCCGTTCATCCATTATTAAAGCAATGGATGGATGGTGATTGAGAGCAAGCATGATCAATCATTGACATTTGACATTTAGGTAGGGCGCAGCTCTCTCCATCACCATCAATCCATGGCTTCGAAGGTCACCAAATATGCCCCGCTTTTCTCATAGTCCGTGGGATTATAACGTACTTTGCACAAGAGGTTTATAATATGTGATTTGGAGCTCGGCTTATCAAGTAACCAAAAGCCCCTTGGCTTGCAGAAATTTCCTTTCACTTTGATATGCATAGTGAGGAGAGTGTATAAGGAGAAGAAGAGGAAAGAACTAATACAAAAAAACCACCTCAAATAAAAGACTAATATTCCAATTAGAGTAAAAAAATCTAGTTCTAGTTCACTTATATCTGAGAGCATAACAAGAGATCGGTGCAAAGGAGTACCCATATGAATGGTTGGAATACGACCATTCTTTACATAATGTCTACAACTTTACACATGCAGATGGGAATTATAGACAGTGGCCAATTAGAATCAAAGAAACAATTGAAAATGCAAACATGCTCACTGTAAAATAAGAAAACAAAGTTGTTATTAGTAAATGGTATTAACCTACAGAGGACCGTGTGTACTGTTGCATAACTCGCGTCCTCCATGCTCGAGAGGGAAGCGATGCTTTAGATTTCCAGAACCAAACTTGTTCGTGAATCAAAGCTGTCCAATCAAATGACCCTACATCCAGGTGGGCTTCATGACCGGAGGGCCAGGTAAAGGGAGCACATAGATTCCTCATGTTCTGTTATATACAATTGCATTCAGTTCAAGAAGGCATGAAGCCACATACCATCTTAAACTTTACAACGAACTATGAACCGAATGCTAAGTCCTTTCATCAAGCCATGGAAACATTTGACTCTCACTTTGTTTGCTGGCTATCGGCCCCAATACTGTCAAGCCATGAAACTACCTGACAGATAAAAGGCCTTGCTTTAGGGCACGCATTAACACACGAACAAGCCACCTCCAACATTTGCAGCATTTGCTTACTATGTTCCTTTTCATAAACAAATGGATCAAAAACCTCTTCTTCTCTCCCTTCACTCTTCAACTGAAGAATCCAAGAAACCAAATCCCTGCACCCCTTTGGCTTGCACACATCGACAGGTCTCTTACCAGTGAGAAGCTCCAATAAAACAACACCAAAACTATAAACATCCCCCTTGAAAGTGGCTACTGAAGCCTGCCCATATTCAGGGGGTATATAGCCCAAGGTCCCAACTAAATCAGTGGTCACATGGGTATCATAAGGGAGTATAAGCCTTGCCAATCCAAAATCAGCTAAGTGGGCTTCAAATTCTTCATCTAAAAGTATATTGCTCGATTTAATATCTCTGTGGAGTATGTTGGGTTCACAAGTTTGATGCAAATAAGCCAAGCCGTGAGCTGCCCCTTGAGCCATACGAAGCCTACTGGCCCAATCGAGCATCGACCCACCATCAAGCCTCTCATGAAGCCAATAATCCAAGCTCCCATTCTCCATGAAAGAGTATATAAGGAGCCTATCATCCCCATGTCTACAATAGCCTTGTAAGAGAACTAGGTTCTTATGCTGAGCTCTAGAGAGAGACTCAACCTCAGCCTGAAATTCTCTGTCCATCTGACCACAATCCCCTGACAATCTTTTTATTGCCACCTTTCGACCATCAGGGAGTGTGGCTCTATACACAAGGCCAAAGCCCCCACACCCGATGATATTTGCTTGGTCGAAATTATCAGTGGCCTTTAGCAAATCGCAAATAGTGAGCTCTTTTTTATCTTGGGGTTGGAATAGAATCACCATTCGTGAACCAGAGAACTCAGAAGACCTTCTGATCCCCCCTGCAGTTCTGCAAACTCCATCACCACACTTTCTCTTTCTATGCCTCCTTGACGCAATAATAAATACCACGGCAAGAAAAAGAGCCATCCATATGCCAAGGCAAAGTGTTGTGGACACAATAATGGTGGTTCTGTTCTTTTTCAATTTGCCCTGAGAAAGGGAGGGAAGATAGGGTCTGGTGTCGGTTCGATTACAAGGAGGCAAAGGTGAACCACAAAGACCGGGGTTTCCATAGAAGCTCCTTGCTGAAAAGGTTGAGAATTGGGAACCAGTTGGGATAGGCCCCTGCAACTGGTTATATGCCACAGAAATGCTTGATAAGAAGGTGAGCAAGCAAAGAGAAAAGGGAATCGAACCGGAAAGGTTATTGAAGGAGAGGTCCAGAATTTCTAAGCTCCTCATGTTTGACAAGTTACTCGGTATTGAACCTGAGAGATTGTTAGAGCTCAGGTCCAATACATGGAGCAAGCGCAGGTTTCCAAACTCTTCCCAAATGGGTCCACCAAGCCCATTGTGGGCCAGAGAAAGAGTTGGGGGAAAGCTCGAGATCTGGTTATATTGAAAACCGGCTGCACTGTGGTTTCTCTTGATAATCACAGGCATTTCAATGGTGGAATCTCTTGGCCAGTAGCTTCTTGAAATGAGGCTCTTCAGTAGAGTCAAGTTTTTCGGAATCTCTCCTGTAAAGGAATTATTCGATAAATCCAAGTAAAAGAGGCGCTCAAAGTCTCCAATCCAAGGTGGAATGCTTCCTGACAAATGGTTCCACGAGAGATCCAAAACCTGCAAATTTTCACAGTTTTGCAACCATGGGGGGATGAAACCAGAGAGACCACAGTTTGGGATTGCCAAGAATTTTAGGCCTCCGAAACCATTAATGTCAATTGGCATTTCCTCACCCTGAAAATTCATCGTGAGGATAAGACTAGTAAGGCTCCGACACTGTTGTAGTATTCCTAACGCTTCCGAGATGTTATGGAAGCTATTGTTAGAGAGAGACAGGAACGAGAGGCTTTGCATGTTTGCGAAACTCTGGGGAATTTGGCCGGAAAGGCCATTCCTGCCAAGATTTATAGTTTTCAATTCCTGGCAGGAAGAGAGAGAAGCAGGGAGAAGGCCCTCAAAATGGTTCGAACCAACATCAAGGAGGTTGAGACGAGGAAACATAGAGAAATCAAGAGAGAGTGTACCAGAGAGAGAATTGTTCTTCAGATTGAGCATTCTAAGCCCAGAACAGTTTGAAAGAGAGGATGGCAATGGACCCACCAACCGGTTAGAGTAAGCAAAGAGAGTTTGAAGATTCTTCAGGTTACCAAAAATTTCGGGTACTGGCCCTGAAAACCCATTAGCTGAAAGATCCAAAATTACCAATTTCGAGAGATTACCCAATCGATTGCTGAAATTCCCGGAAAGCCTGTTAGCTGAAAAGCTCAGTTGCTCCAACAAAGACAACCCAAACAAATCATCAGGCAATTGCCCCGATAGAGAATTGCAGCTCAGGGAGAGAATTTGCAAAGACCTGCAATTCCCAAAACCCACTGGAAAATAGCCAGAAAACAGATTCATTGAAAGATCGATAGCCTGTATTTTTCCTGAATTTCTACATATCCCAGCATCGATCGAACCAGTAAAGGAATTATTACTGATATTGAACACTGTCAAATTCACTGGCCCAGAGAGAAGGGGCAGCTGTCCGTCGAAGAAGTTGCTCGAAATATTGAAAACGCGAACCGATGGTAACCCAATAACATCTGTAAAGTTGCCAGACAATTTGTTATAGCTCAGGTCCAGGTACTCCAACCTCTGCAACCGAAAAAGCTCAGATGGAACAGATCCATAAAGCATGTTTAGGGAGAGATCCAGGGTTTGAAGCTGGTCCAAACTAGCTAAAGCCCTAGAAATGGAACCATTCAACCCCAATTCCCTAAGAACCAACCGAATTACCATCGTCTCTGAACCGGAAGAAGAAGCAGCTCCAGAAGAACCACAGAAAACACCTCTCCAGCTGCAACAATAAGAATCGTTACCCCAACCATTAATCCCCTGGCTCAAACCAGCCATGAAACCCATCAATGCGTCCAAATCAGAGGAACTGCACCTCTGGTTCTGAGAATTTACATCCCGAAACTGAGCCAGGAACCCTAGAACCAGAATCAAGAAGCCCCAAAACCCCATTTCCAGCACCCTCAACTCCAGATCACTACTTCCCCATACCAGTAATATAAACTCCGGGGCACTCTAGAAATCCTAAAAAATCCATTTTTCTTAAATGGGGTATATAGAATTCAGCATATAATTCATTATCAAGAGTCAATGAACTAGAAAAAGAGCTCAATCCAAAGAAGAGAGAGAGGAAGATGAATGGGAAGTAGAGAGAGATGATTTCAAATAAAGAGAGAGAAAAATGAATAGGAAAATTGAGAGAGAAAAGGACTTGGGTTGGCCTGCCTGAGAGAGAGAGAGAGCTCAATCCGAAGAAAAAAGAGTGAGAGAGGGAAGAATAGTAAGTAGCCAGGAGAGAGAGAAAGAGGGAGGAGAGAGAGAGAGAGAGAAAAAAGGACTGGGCTTAAGCTGTCAAAGCCCGTGTTCTTTGGTTTTTTTTTTTTTCTGCTTTTTTTCGTCTGTATGGAAATTGGTCAACTGTTTTGAGGCTTCATAGGGTGGTGACCGGAGACCTGTTTACCAGCATTAAGCAGTCAAAAGTTGGACGGTACGGAATCACGTTGAGGTCAAACAAAAACGCCGTGTCGATCAGTAATTCCGTGCCGCCTCCGGGACACAAGGCTTTCGGCTCCAGCCCGGCGGAAGTACGGTGTTTTCTTCGGTTCCAGAATTTCGGATACGAAATTTCGGCTGAATCTCAGTGAGAGGAAGAGCATAACCTCGAGTCAGATGCATGAAAGAGATGAAAAATAGATTTCAAAATCATGAAAATAGTGCATCTTGTAATATATTTTTTGAATCATAAAATTTGAAGTGTTAATAAATCTACTCAACCTACACTTTTTTTTAAGTTTTAAATTTTATAATTGGAGATAAAAATAAATTATCAAGCCATTACAAAGATTTCAAATATTGAAATATCTTTTGATTTGCATTATTTTGACTGTTTAGAGCCTTGGCCTGATACAAACTGCACCATTTCTTATTTTTTCACTTTAAGCCTATTAGGCCCAGCCGAGTTAAGCCGATCCTAGGCCAAGGCCTCTTGGGCCAGGCTAGAGCCGGCCTATTTGCTAGGCATACTTGAACCAACTTGGAATTGCATGAGTGGGATTAGTCATGGGTATCCATTTTTGCCCTAATTCAAGAGTCAGCATGATTTGGTCTTTTGCTATTGTTATTATGGCGTGGCGGAAATGAGAAAGGAAATATAAACATGCTATTTATAAATGGGTGCAGTTTGTATAGAGCCTAGGCTCTAAACAATCAAATTAGAGTTCACTTTCAAATGGAATCCAGAATCTAAAAATCTTTGTGATAGCCTTAAAATATATTTTTATCTTTATTTATAAAGTTTAAAGCATAAAAAAGAGTGTAGATCGACAGATCTATGGAAACTTGAAAATCTTAAAAATTGAAAGTCCAAGAATGCGTTACAAAATATACTATTTTCAAAAACTTCAAATCCATTTTTTTCTCATGTCCATGCATCTTGATATCGAGATGATCAATTTGAGGATATTTTGGTATCAAACAACCTCTTTTAGTGGAATTTTTTAGATAGGCTCGAATTTGATTGTTTAGAGCCTCGGCTCTATATAAACTTTTCGGTTTATGAAGGGATTGATAGATGGCGTTACAAGTTTTGATAGATTGAATGAGTAGGAATGGATAGAGAGGGAATCCCTCAATAATAAGTGGAAATCTCCTGTTTCTATTTATTGAAGAGACAAGTAAGTATCTATTTTGGATTTGGATCCATCAGCAAGAAATTGATAAGACACCTCTCTTCTTTTATCTTATCCATCGGCCAGGCTCATCTCACAGAGGGAAAAGCAAAATAATGTGTGATTTTCTTAATCGGGAGGAAGAAAGGGGGATCGGGAAAATGAATCAATAACCACTGCAGGGTGGGAATGGACAGAGAGGTAATAGGAACAGTCACAAGGAAATAACATAGAGACAAAAAATTGTCTGAGTGATGCCTTTAGAAGTCTAAAATAAGGGATTCAAGGCCGGAACAGACTAATCTTTCTACAATTTTTCTATTATGCGGTGCCATAGTAGATCTTTTTTTTTCCATAAGGGTACCCACTAAAGGAATGAGAAGAATTTATTATTATTGTTATTATTATTAATTTTATTTTTTAGTTTTAGAATAATGGTGAGAATGGAGAGTGAATGAGCTCAATTTAGTCATAATCTCTTTTTTATTAGTTTGGCAGTAGTAATCAAACCTACACGGTAGTGTTCCATTGACAATAAACTATCCTCTCTAGCCGAGGTATGACCCCCAAAAGTATACTAGAGGCTTCCAAATAAGATTAAGTCACATTCCCTAGTTCAATGTAACAAATTAAGGGATTTTTTTAGTCAAAATACAAAATTGCTTGTATGTTGAATAAATGGGGCAATTTTTTTCATGACATTACTGATTACCTCCCTTCCTCTTATTGGAAGAACTCACCATTGTCATCTTTTTCTTGTGATTTACAATAATTTATATAAATGTTTTTTAAAGCTTCACTATGAATGATCAGAAACTTGGCTTGGGTTAGGGATTTGGCACCTACACGAGCTGAGTAACTCAGGCCACTCCAAGTGGACTTGCTTGACTCACTTACAAGCCTAAAAAGGGTTAAAAAATTTTAAAGTGAAAAAAAAAACAACAATAAAAAAAAAATCAAATAATAATAACCCATGTTCAAGGTCTAAAGTGATAAAATAATTCTATTACATTCCTGACAAAACACTGTCATGTTATTTATAGTTTGATATCTATCAGATTTACATATTATCAGAGACATCTTCTCTTTACTTTAAGTGTATATGTGCATTTATAACCTAACCGACTTCAATTAGTTGGAAATATACTTTGAAGATGAAGATGACTTGCATTTAGAACCCGAAATTGGATTCTAGAAGACTATACATAGCGATATCCAGATTGGCCATATCGGTATATTGGACAAACATGAGTTTAAAAAAAAAAAAAAAAAAAAAACAGGGAAGGGACCTATATGACCCAGCCACTTACTTTTTGTCAATAAGGTGCACTCGCCCAACACTAAAAAAAACTAAAACTTAGACCACAAAATACAGCTAGAAGTCTAAATCAGGATCAAGTCACTATGCCCCGCGTACCGGCCAAGCTCAGATATGTCTTGAAATGCTTAGGCCTAGCCCATTAACAATCCAATACCCTTAGATTATAAAACTAAAGATCGAAAATTCAGCGATCCAAATCATAGCCAAATAGCACTGAAGCGGTCGGTGGGCAACAGGACTTAACACATAAGGTTCGTCTCGAAGGACAAACGGTAAGATTTGGTAAACGGCATCATCACAAAGTCTACATCTTCCAAAAGGGAGGGGAGGCAATTCAGTAAGGCCTGAAATTTCGTTCTGAAATTTCAACCAATTTTTTGGCGCAACAACGCGTTAGTTGGGTCCCATGTCCCGGCAACTTACTGGCCCACCGCAAAAAAGAACGAATTTCACCGAAATTTCGGATTTCTAGCCGAGCCCCTAAATTTTTCGGCTCTATGGTGATTCGCTCCTGGGCATCTTAACGGCCACAAGGAAACGAAAAAGGGCAAAAAAAGGGGCTTTGACATTGTGGCTCTGATTTGATAGGCCCCGTCATTTCATTTATTTATACTTTAAATTTTTAAATTTGCCACCATTTCTTTAGTGATATAGAGTCGACTTTATTTTTTGTTTTAGGCTTTTGTTTATGGAGTTTACTAATCTTTAGTTTATATGGTTTACTTGAGGGGAATAAAGGCGACCTATTTGCAAGTGGGTCCGTGCTTAAAATTTCAACGAATTTCATAATGTTTCGGTTAGATTTCGGCTTTCACAGGCAACACTGGAACGGTTGGTGCTACTTTCTTGCTGGCCTGGGCAGTCTAGCGTAAAGGAAATTTTAAGTTTAGTTAAATTTTTTTAGAATTTATATTTAACTATGGCGCCATTCAAGTAATCAATTAGGTAAAAACTTTTATATATTTATATATATTTTTTAAAAAAATTATTTTTTAAAAATCACTAGTGAAACTCCAATCCTTTCTAAAAATCACTAAGGATCATCCTAATTTATTGATGGTATGCGGCGGTTCCCACTAAAATCGGCTCTAAAGGATTTGGAAGATTTGGCCCCGATGGTTCCCTTTTTTTTTTTTTTTTTCATGTTTTATTTTTATTAGTCAATTCTCTCAACCCGATTGATGAATCCAGTTCTCGGACGGAGCCGAAACATTGGTCCAACCGATTTAGAGGCCAAAATTTCGGTACCGAATTTCGGATGAGGTTCGCTGAAATTGGAGTTTGTTGGGAAGAGCCGATAACGGCTTTTTGGGACGTACAAAGTCAGTTTATTGGAAATCGAATGCCACAATTGAAAGCCCTTAATTGTGGAACAAAAGTTTGATGGACGGCATGAAGGACCCATTGGACGGTTGTGATATCCCCACCTGATGCTGAATCTGATTTGAGACGTCCATCAAATGCAAAGAAAGAGGCATGCTGACTTTTATCACTCAAATGTTACTAATGCAAATCAAATGCGATTGAAAATTCAGAGAAAGTGTTTATTGACAAAAAAAAAAAAGAGAAAGTTTTTGTAAGACAATAGGAAGACCGGTCATGTTATATAAGATAGAATATTAAGCGATAAAAAATTAATGTATATAATATATCTATAAAATGAGTATAGCTGAGATGATGATGTTGAGATAAATAAAAAACAAAACAATAAAAATCAAAATTCGAAATGAATACATCTCAAAGACTTAGAGATAACTCTAATAAGTGATAAGATGAGAGAAAGTTGATTTAAGTCGTATGATAATGTGCATTGCGACATAGAACAAATCCCGTTAGCAATGGTAATTTAGTTCAAGTGTTAAGCTCTAAAAAAGTAAAAAAAAAATTAAAATGGACATGAATGAAAGTAGTGAGAAGATATATGGTGATTCAAAATTTGACTCAAAATATAACCTTCAATAAAATATAACGGCATAACAAAAATCATGAGACCCATCCCAAATAACTAACAATAATATTACAAATGTTGCTCGTATCATCACCTCCCTCTCAAATGCCACTCTCAATATTATATTCTCTCTCTCTCCACAGGCCATTTCAAGATTTCATGGTCTCTTTTCTCTCTCTCAAACGCCATTGCAATATTCCATGCTCTCTTCTCTCTCTCTCAACCAACCATTGA